AAAGACTTACTGATATAAAAGAATCATATGTGGTAATGATTAAAATGGTGTCGCATTGATTCGAAGATCAGGAAATAGATCAGAGAGAACTCAGAGAGCGATCCACAGAAACATAGCACGCGCACGCGCGCGCGCACACACACACACACACACACACATGAACACACAACTCAGTCCCCAGATCACCCTAACCATCACTGTGCCCTTTACCAGCTGTGAGTGATCATTCAACAAGTTAAAGCTTTCTCAATGGAGAGACCCCATGGTTGAGGCAGACTGAGTCTGTTGTGCTGGAAGGAGAAGAAATTGGGGAGGGTGGGGGCATGGGGGGTGGACACTGACTGTGATGGATGGATTGTATGTCGACCTGATGTGAAGAGAGGAGTGGGGTGCAGTCTATCAATCAAGTCACAGTCTGACGATGCCCCCTTGGCAGCATGGCCTTTTATAAGAGATGCTGTGGAGAACCGGCCTCCCTCTCTTCTCTCTCTTCGCCTTCCCGATTGATTGGTTGGTTGCTCGGTTCCATGTCTGGCTCTGGGGGTGGTGACCCACAAGGGGCCCAAACGTGAGCGCTGTCAGCATCCTGCCATGTTCCTGTCAACACTGGATTCACAGGACTCTACAACCACTGGCCTGAGATCTCCCGGCTTCCACTGCTCCTTCCTGCTTCTTCAGCTGTAAGGGAGTGAGTGTGGAGGGAGCCACAGCGAGCCTCTGACCCACTGACTTGCGTTGATCTGAGCTGGGCTGCTTTTCTTGAGACAAATTTCTTCCTTGATATAAAATTATTTCTTAGACATATGTGAGTGAGCCTGGCTTTGTTCCTCTGGAAAACTCAGTCTAATTCCATGACCTTGAACACATTATAGACCAATCGGTGAAAGCACAGAAGGGGTTGCTGTGATTTCTGCAAGGTGCCATGGTGTGTTCAGTCACAAATTGAAAAGCCTGACTTGGATTTTTGAGCCCATATTACGGCGACGGTATCTAAGAAGTAGGTGTCTGATGTTTGCACAGGGCACAAGTTCAAGGCTTGCCACAGGTACTGCCTTCCCGAGGTAGACCTCTGCAGACATCGCCATCTTGAAGTCTGTGCAGAAATACTGCTGGGACATATTGATCCCACCCAAGTATTCACCTGACCCACCCCAGTGAGGGTCCTCACCCTCACTCTGAAGCTGAGCTGGGCAGGATGGCCCCGGATGGACACTCAGGGTCTCTTCTCCTCTCTCTCTGACTTACTGGCTCCACCATCCTCCCCCATGATGACAAACTCGGACAGTTGCACTGTCATTTATTGTTTTCCTTGAATTTCTCCTCATACCCACTGTGCCTGCTCAGAGATCCCACCACATGGTCTTCATGGACCTGGACCACGCTGAGTCACTGAGTCTGAACAACACAAGCTGGTGTCAGCTGATTAGGACAGGCTGGAGTCCCTGGTGCTTGTCCACACCTGGACGGGGTAGCAGTCAGGGACTTGGGCTTGTCCTCTGATCCCGTTGGTCCCTTCCTCACATTGGGGTAAATAAAGACCCAAAGACGCAAGGTGTTCATGAGACAAGAAAAGCCCAGGGTATGGGTGGGTGTGTGTGTGTGTGTGTGTGTGTGTGTGTGTGTGAGAGAGCGAGAGAGACTCAGAGTCCACAGATACATGACTCACATAATACACCACAACATCATTTATTTATTTATTATTATTATTTTAATAAATCATTTTGTTGTAGGTTCCTACAGCTCTTATAACTGTCCATCAATTGTATCAAGCACATTTGTACATATATTGCCATCAACCTGAGGTCATCCTGACAGTAATGACCTAATAGGCATTGACTCTCATTCGTGCCAAGTGCCTTGAAACAAATGTCCAGAATATGGCCCCAGGTCCTCCGTCCTGCAGGCAGTTGCTGATCGCTCCTGGGTGGTCTCAGCAGCCCCTCCCCTCTCCTTCACTCCCCCTTTGGGCCCAGCTCTCAGGCCTCCCCTCACCCCAGCTCCTCCCCTGATCCCCACCCCCCTTCACTCTGGCCCCTGCTCTCAACCCTGCTTGTACCTGGCCCCTCCCCACTTCTCAGCCAACCTTCTCCCTTCACCCTATCCCCCTTCTTTCCCCCTTTCTTCGCCCTGCCCACCCTCATCCTAGCAGGACTCAGAGCAGAAGTCCCCAAGGCCACTCCCCTGGGACCAGGAGGAGGAACAGCACCGGGAAAGCCATTTAGCTGCTCCCTCTGGTCATTCCCCAGCACAGACGCCCCTGCAGCCGCACAGGACCAGCGGACACACCTGTTCCCACTTCCGCTTTCCCCTGAGTCTATTCTGTCCCCTCCCAGGGCTGGCACAGGTCTGCTCCCCAAGGACAAAGCATGGAAGGGGCTCAGAGGAAAGGCAATCACCCTGTTACCCAGGACCGTCGACTCCTTTATCATGTGTATAGTTCAAGGGGTCCCCTCACACTGCAGCATTCTGGTTCCTGCCTCACCCAGTGCTGCTGTCCCCACCCCCTCCCCACTCAGCGCTTCCCCCACCCTGGTCTTCTCCTCCCTTTCCTGCCTCACACCCTCAGCTCAGCCAACACTGCATGACATTCCCAGGTCACCTGGAGCCTATTGTACATGCCCATGGTCTCAGTGGCACGCTTCTCGTGGCCTTTTTCAGAGCTGCGATGATTGTCATCTGTTCCCCTCACTGGAGCCCTGAGCACGGGACAAGGCCTTGTCTCGTTCCCAGTCAAGCCCAGCGCCACCACAAGTCAGAGCGTGAGTGTCAGGGGAGCCAGCCCCTCGCACAATCCTTGCCAGCCCGGCAGGCACGGTTGTACGGCCATCATAAGCAAAGACTATAGTAGTCATGGGAAATAAGACAGATAGAAGAGAGAGTGAAATAAAGGCGTGAGACACATGTCATGGCAGCATGCTCACCTCCTGGATGGCCATGATCTCAACAGCCAGGTCATGCACAGCACAGGCAGGCGAGAGATTTATTACGAACCAAGGCTTATATATCTTTTGGGGGGCATGCAAGCCCCCTAATTACAGGTCAAGACATACATCGCGGGAAGGGGTGGTGCTATGGGTAATGCAGTAATGAAGGGGGGTGATGTAGGGGTATATGTGCAATAGGAAGGGGAGGGATTAGGGATACACATGTGACAAAATGGGTGGATCCTAGATTCATGATGGCGGCCTAACCTTGATTGCCATTGAGCTGGAGACTAGTCTAAGCTGTCAGGAGAAGTAATCCACTGTCCCTAACAGCAGGGAACGAGCCCACCTAAGGTGGCGTAAACAATGGTGTCTGATTGCTCTGGAGGGCTGAATGCTTACAGGGAGAATGTCTCTAAGCATCTGACCTTCCACCCTGTGCTGGCAAATAGCCTCTAATGTTTGGCATATCTTGGGGGAAGACAAATCTGGGGGAACGTCTTTTTATATCCCACACGTGAGAACATGGCATGTTGAGCAGGGGAGCTGATGAAGGAAGGAGGTTCCCATGTTTCATCGCCTTCAAAGGACTGACATATCCAACCCTGGGGTGATGTTTCCTATCAGGAATGCAGGACACAATTCCCAGATCTCAGGGCCCCTATTCATGTAGATGCTACTCCTCTTCTTCCCAGATGGACATGTGGAAGGCTCCCGCAGAGACTCCTGAACTTGCTGGTCCCTGTGCCTGCTGTACTGTCCCTGCAGCATCCCAGGACATTTCTCCACCCCCTGATTAAGTGACACCTTGTCAGAGGGACCTGCCCTTCTGTCCCCATCTTATTTAATTTCACACCATAGAACTTCATGCTCAATCTTTCTCTCTCTCGCTCTCTCTTTCTTGTATTGATATGGGTTCATTGTTGCTCTCAGCCCACAGAATGTAAAGTCAGTGGAAGCAGAGGCCTTGGTCTGTTTATTCATACTGGACTCCACGCCGGGATCAGCACCTGGCACCTGAGGAACTGAAAGGGTGCAGGACAGAAGCCAGTGGTTGTGCTCTGTGACCTGAGGAGTCATCAGAGCAGACAGGCAGGAAGAGATCTGTAGGCTTGACAAGCCCATCTAGTTCCCCTGGGATGAACTGATGGGCAGTCCCTAGAGTCTGATGTGAGCTGCAGGAGCCAAAGGGCTCTGGGTCTAGTGAACAGAAGGCCGGCTCAAGTCCCCAGAGAGTCATGGCTACTCAATGTTCCCACTTAAACCAAGTCACCAACTCAGACACTTAAATGAAAGGGAGGTCAGGTCCCCTGAGGAAGGAGGAATAAAAGATATATGCTTCTTCATCCTCCTAATTGTCCCCAAAGTGTCATGGAGCCACTAAATGAGTGGCTGCTCTATGTGGACAGACATACTCTGGCCTTGCAGGGAATCCTGGATCCTGCTGCATCTGACTCTAATGCCTAGAGACCAAGCTGACCCGTTGATCTACATGTAGGCATAGAGCCTTATGGAGGTTGAAATCAATGGAATTTTAACTCGGGTCTATCTTCCAGGGGCCCCAGTGGGTTGTTAAATACTACTGTTATCTCCTGAGTTTCAGAATCCATGATTGAGCAACAATACTCAGCCACTGGCAGAATCTTCATACGGGTGCTAAGATATGTGGGTTATTGGGTAGGAGAGGCCAAGAGGAAGCCATGGGCCTGGCTCACATGCAAAAGGGGTGAGCCAAGGCCACACCACGTTCGGGAGGGATTATAGACACCAGGGAGATCTTCTGAGGGTTCCAAAGAATTGGTGAGGATGCATTTTCATTGGGAAGTTCTGTACTCTCTGCCCAAGGGTGCGTTCAGCTCAGCGAGGGCCTATTGATTGTTCTTGTTGTTGTCATTGTCTGAGGATCGTAACCAAGAGAGCTTTTTAAAGAAGTTAGCCAAGAGGATGTTTCGATAAAAACATAGATGGAGTCCCAGGATTTACTGCCGAAAGGATCCTTCTGACTCTCCTGACGGTTTGTATTTGCTGTCGTGGCGTCCTGGGTGCTGGGCCTATTGGTTCCAGAGTTGGGTGGATCTAACTCCCCCCCCCACCCTCCCTGACTTTCTGAGGCCTGTTCACCCAGAGGACAGCACCGAGCATGCTCAGGAACAGGGGCACCTTCAGGAAGACCAGGAGCAGGAAGTGGATGTTGCTGAGCAGAGACCTGTGGGGACACAATGACGGATGGTGCTCTCTCCTCAAAGGGGATATGCTGAGATTCCTCTTCCCACTTTCCATGAGCCTGTGCCCCGTGTCTACAATAACCTATATTGAGACCAACCTGGCGAAGGTCCAGGGAGAGGACAGTCTCACTCACAGGACTGCTGCCCCTGATCCTTCACTTAGGGCTGAGGACATTAAAAGGTCCAGTCCTGGGGATGATGTGAAGGAAGAGCCAGAGATGTACATGGGACCTGAATCTTTCCCATGTTCCCCAGTGCATGGAAAGCCCCTGCGCCCAGCAGGACTTGAACGATTAGGTTTCGAATTGGTGACTAAATGAGAGACCCCAAAGAAAAGAATTCTCCTGCAGCACCAGAGGAGAAGCCATCCAGATGGGGAAGTCCTCGACGATAGACTCTTACCACATGCGTTGTCTGAGATCAGAAGTCTCCTGCCCTGTTGTGCTGGGCCTGGTGGTAGCCAGGATTCTCCTGAAGTCCAAAGGACTTGAGTCTGCAGAAGGGGCTGATGGTACCGAGAAGATCAGGTGGGTGCCCTCCCTTGGTCCCTTGCTCACCACCACCTGTATGACTCTGACCTCGGTGGGCAAGAGACTGAGTTACACAGAGAAGAAAATGTGCCCATAAAGGTCTTCACTCCAATGCCGAGTAAACAACAGGGTTTCATGATACCCCAGGGTTCAACCACCCTCTGCTCTACCCACAGTTCAGTCACTCAAGAGAGCCCTCAGAGACCAGGACAGAGCAGGCACAGATAGATACATCCGGGTATACACACACCCTTACCTGGGTCAATTGACACTTGAACCGAGATGGCATCGTCAGCACCACTTCTGTCGATCCCACACCAGTAAGTACCTGCATCTCCTTCCCTGAGCTTCTCCATGGTCACCGTGAAGGTGTGGTTGCTCTGATTGTCCCTGAGAGACACTCGGTTCTTCTTCACCTTCTCCCCTGATCTGGTGCTTCTAATGAGGTCTCTGCAAGAATGTGACGCCTCTCCTCGACACCACCACTTGATGTAGGTCTCCTGGCCTGGGTCATAACGGCACTGCACAGTCAATGACCCTCCCTTTGGGCCATGCACGCCACCTGGACCCTGAAGGGTGGAGCAACCTGGAAAACACAAATTCATGTCCCTGTCACCTCTTACCCTGAGGGAAGAGCCACAGTCTCCTGCAATGGGAAAAGTTCCCAAATCCAAGTGCCCCTGGGGGTGGATAACAGCCAGGAAGGAATATAGCTTCCATGAGAAAGACCTTTTGTCCCTGAAAACACCACTCTCAACCCACTGAACACAAACAGCCAATCTGAAGCCATCAAGCAGACTCGTCCCGGCAACCCTGTAGAATAGAGTGGAAGTGCTCCCTGGGGTGTCTGAGACTGTGAATCTGTACAGGAGCAGGCAGCCGCGTCTCCCAGAGCAGCTGGTGGGTTCGATTAGCAGGCCTGGTGATTCGCAGGCCAATGCTTAAAGCACTGTGCCACCAGGTTCCTTCCACTCTCGAGGCAGCTATCTATACCACGGATTTCTTTTGAAATCTGACACACAGCAATAATAGCTTTGTATAATTCACCCTTCCCCCACTCTGGGGTCAATCTAATCTTTATATTTCAAGAGATGTCTCTGAAGGCTGAAGGTGGGTGTCCACTTGGCTGGGCCGTTATTGTCTTGTGATGGGGCCATCTCCTGGGGTGAGACCTAATGTAGCGTGATCAGCCCTTGATGAGCTCTGCTCTGAGAAGCCAATCAGTTGAAGAGGACTGTTTGGAGACAAGACCTTGACCAGTCTCAGCTAAGTGAGCACAACAAACCAGACCGGTTGCCCTGTTGCTTTCTCAGCTGGCAGGAACACCACCCAGGTGCTTTGTCTCACCACCTCCCTCCTTCCTATTTGCCGCTCCTCTTTTCTTTTCCTTCTCTTGTTTTTGTCTATTTTCCCTTATTGTCTTATTTTTCTCTTCACCTTCTTCTTGTCTCCCCTTCTGTGGTTTGGTTTCGTTCCTTCTTTCGTTTCTTTGCTGTTCTTGTTTATTTATCATGTTTTTTGTTGTCGTCATTTGTTTATCTTTGTTCTTCTCCTTGCCCCCACCTAGAGAAAGGCTGCAACTGTGCTCACACTCTGAAGCCACTCCTGTGATCCACCAACTGTCCCAGGGCCACCATTCACTTCTGCACCTACTGATCAATGATAGAAGAGGGCCACCACCAACCCCACCCATCCTCAACTGTTCTATGTGCACTGCAAAGAGAACTGTACACCCCATCCTCAATCACACCCATCAGGAGACAGGTGGTGAATCCCTAAGAACACATCAACATGCAGTCCCCAAGGCTCAGAGAAAATAGAGAACCTCAGTTCACACGAAGGGAACAAGACAGAGTGACTAAAGCGACTCACCAAAAGACAAAACCAGAACATCTTCTTGAGGAAGAAATGATATTCGGTCTACCTGATAAAGAATGCAAAAGAAGGATGTTTAGGTACGTCAATGCATTCAGAGAGAGAGAGTTAAAGGAACCTACACACAAGAAAAACAGAGAAACCGTCAAGGAAACGTTGTAAGAACAAATGTATGTGATAAAATTTAAGATTGGGAATTGTAAAAATAGAAATATAGCAAATAGAAACACAGAAGGTAATACCAAGACGTTGGGAAAATAAAACATATTAAATGTACAAAGGAATAGAATTGAGTCAATGGAAGACAGATTTAGCAAAATTGAAGAAAAGTAACAAAATACTAATCTGTTAAAGGAATAACATGTCCCTTTAGAGAAAAAAGAATGGAAAACCAGAAACAAAGGCAGTCTAAGGATTATATGAGACAACACCGAAAGAAATAACTCACATGTGATCAGAATTCTAGAACAGGAAGAGAAAGGATTTCCTAAAGCACAAAGGAAACTGTTAAAGATTTGTTGGAAGAAATGTCCTTCACACCATAAAGACAAAAGATATGCAACCAAGAAATTAAACAAACACCAGATGGATACAACCAAAATGAAAGTCACCAAGACAACTGAGTTAGTTAATTGTGCCAGCCTGGCCGATAATCACATGTGGGGCTAATTGAAAGGTGGAGGGATAAATGGGTGGTGAGCCTCGCCTTTC